ATGCCCCACTTATCATCGTAGCTGACTTCTCCAACTTCCCCTGACCATCTTCCACTGGGGACGCTCCAAACTACTAACATGTCTCACTCACTTCTTTAGGGGGAGACCAAAAACTGCTGGGTCTTTTCACTCCGCCTCAGATATACCCTTCATCCACACAGCAGGTGTCCAAAGGCAGGTCAGAGCCTTAGGTACTGACTGCAGTGAGAACTGTGGGACAGCCAGAAGGGAAGGAGGTGGCCTGGGGCTTTGGGTGAGGGAGGATTTGTGTTGCCTTGCCCAAGCTTAGGAGACAGCCAAATCCCAGAGGCCCACTCTGAATATCAGATTCCAATCAGAATTGCATGTTCACCTCCTACCAGCTGCAATCCTCTGAAAAGTGAAACTTAGACAAGTGGACTTTGATTGGGTTTTGTAATGAGCTCTTTAGATCTGCAGACAAAGTGATGACATTAGCACTCCTCGTCCTTCCCCAGAAAGCCAGGATCACGTTTGACGTTAGGTCTGCACCATCTCTAGAATCCTCACACAGCGTCTCATGCTGGTGTCTATCTTTACCCTTCCCCCATATTGCCACACGTCAAGGATTGCCCACCTAGTACCATATTTTCAGAACACAGTACTCATAGGTCTTAGAGTTGGAAGCAAGACTTAATATTAAATTTCACTCCCTCATTTTACTAATGAGAAACAGAAAGGAATTACTTTCTCCAGCATCACAGGTCAAGGTCCTTGTGTAGGAGTTTATTGTTTTTCACTTGGGTTCCTTATCTCCCTTTGCTAGATAATATAAGGTTTAATTACTCTCATATACTGACCAAAGAAATTTAATAAGCTTCCCAAAACAATGTTTGGGCACAAAAACAATGACTTACAGACAGAGGTTGTAGGTACATTTTTTCGTATATGTTATTTAAGTTAGATTTTCCTTTAAATTCCCCTTAAATCAATTTTCCTTTAATCACAGTGTAAGTACTCCTGGGGTCTGCATATATATTCTCAGGAATTCAAGAGTTCTCCAGAATAATTTTAAATGTTCATTTCAATGGAAAATATATGTGACAATTTGATGTGATAGGTTTCCCCTGAAGTTTCTTCCCCTCTCTTATTAGGATATACCCATATTTGGACACCTAATCTGAGGTTGCTATATATATATATATATTTTTTTTTTTAGCAGAATAGTTCACTGTATTTGTTTTGTTTTTTAAGCTTTGGTAAGATATCATTTTTACCAAGAATTCTAATTCTTTTCCTTCTGGCTTTATTGAAATATAATAGACAATTAGTTGCTTATATTTACATTGTACAATTCAACGAGGTTTTTTCAATTATAGTTGGCATACAATAATATATCAGTTTCAGTTGTACAGCCTAGTGATCAGAGAACCACATAACTCGCAAAGCGATCACCCACTAAATCTAGTACCCCTCTTCCCCCTTACATATTTATTACAACATTATTAACCATCTTCCCATGCTACACTCTACATCTCCATGTTTATGCTGCAACTATCCATTTGTATCTCTTAATCCCTTTGCCTTTTTTTCCCATTCCCCCAACTCCCCTCCCTTCTAGTATCCCTCAAAATATTCTCTGTATCTATGAGTTTATTTCCATTTTTGTTGTTATTGTTTATTTTGGTTTTGAGATTCCACATGTACGTGAAATCATGTGATATTTATCTTTCTCTACCCAACCCATTTTATAAAATGCAATACCCTCTAGGTACATCCCCTTCCTTTTAGCCTGTGTGTGTCTTTTAATCTAAAGTGATTAAAGTAGGCAACATATATAGGGGTCTTGTTTTCTTATCCATTCAGCCATTTTATCTTTTGGTTGGAGCACTTAATTCTTTTCCATTTGAGATACTTGTTGATAAAAATGTAGTTATTACCATTCTTTATTCCTGTTTTTGAGACATAATTTTTCTTCTTAAACAAGTCCTTCCAACGTTTCTTGTAATACTAGCTTGGTAATGATAAATTCCTTTAGCTTATTTTTGTCTGGGAAGTTCTTTATCTGTCCTTCAACTCTAAATGATGGCTTTGCTGGATAAAGTATTCTTGTTTGTAGATCCCAGGTTTTCATCATGTCGAGTATTTTGTGCCAACCCCTTCTGTCCTGCATAGCTTCTTTTGAGAAATCAGCTGCCAGTCCTATGGGTGCTCCTTTGTAGGTAACTAATTGGTTTTCTCTTGCTGCTTTTAAGATTCTCTCTTTGTATTTAACCATTAGCATTTTAATTACGATGTGTCTTGGCACGGGTCTCTTTGGGTTCCTGGTTTTTGGGACACCCTGAGCTTCCTGGGTTGTGTGTCTATTTCCATGACCAGGTTAGGGAAGTTTTCCATCATTATTTCTTCAAATAGCTCTTCAACATCTTGTTTTCCTTCCAGTATCCACATGACATAGATATTTTTACATTTAATAATGTCCCATAGGCTCCTTAAAATATTATTATAGTCTTGGTTTCTTTTATCATGCCATTCTGATTGAGTGTTCTTGGCTTCCTCATCTTCTATATTGGTGGTTTGATCCTCTTCTTCA